CTCAGAAGTAGAAATGCTCAATCATATAAATCTCCTTTTAATTTCCTGAAGAAGTACCATATTGTTTTTTATAGTGACACCATTTTATATTCCTGCCAGAAAGTACAAGAATTCCAATTTCTCTACATCTTCACCAAAACTTTCTATTTTGTTTGTTTTTAATTGTGCAATAACTGTTCATACTGTGTGTGAGGTGATACATCATTGTGTACGTGCACATGTGCGTTTGCACACTGGATTTGAACCCAGGGCCTTGCACACGCTAGGCAGGTGCATTATGACTATGGTACATCCTTATCCCTTTAAAGACTTTAAGATAAAATCTCACAAAGTTGCTAGACTGACCTCCAGCTTGTGATCCTCCTGCCTCAGCCTATTCAGTAGCTGGGAAAACAGGCTGGTGCCAACATGATAGGCTCTCCGTGGCTTTGAGTTGCATTTCCCTAGTGACTAGTGATTGGAACATCTTTTCATGTGTGTACTGGTCATGTATGCTCTTTGGAGAATTGCCTATTCCAGCGCTTTGTCCATTTAGAACTTTTGTTGGTCAGTTGTACTAGTTCTTTTCTTTTTTTTTTTTCTTTTTCCTTTTTATTGGTACCAGGGATCGAACTCACGACCGCCTGCTTGCAAGGCAGGCGCTTATGCCACTGAGCTAAATCCCCAGCCCCACTAGTTCTTTGTATGTTCTGAGTATTCATCCCTTAATGAATATATGATTTGCAAATGTCTTCACCTGTTCTCTGTGCTTCTCTTTTTCACTCTGTGGACAATGCCATCTGATGCATAGCAGCTTTTAATTCCATTTGCTAGTTTTTATTTTTACTAGTACATATTTGTAGTATATAATGATTACATTCCTCTTGGCACAGGTACATAACACATTTTAGTTCTTTCCCATCCTTTCCTCACCTCTTGGCCCCCTTCCCTTGGGTAAAGTCTTGTCTCCCAATTCCTACTATCTGGCTTTTATTTATATTTTGGGTTTCTCATATAAAAGAAACCATGCAACATTTAAGCTTGTGTGTCTGACTTAACATTATTGTCTCAAGATGCATTCATCTGCCTACAAATTACTCAAATTTATCCTTTTCTTTTGGAGATAGCATCTTGCTTTGTAGCTTAGGCTGGCCTCGAACTCACGGCAACCCTCCTGTCTCGGCTTCACTAGTGCTGGGATTGCAGGCATGCGCCACCATGACCTGAAAATTTATCCTTCTTTATGGCAGAGTGATCAGAATTTTTTTTTTCTGGAACCTTGTCAGCGTTTGTTGTTTGTGTCTGCTCTAACATTGCTAAGCATGCTGTGTATTTCGATAATCTCTGTAGTTATTTTGAGAGATTATTTCTGATTTCATTTTCTCCAGAGCCTCATTCAATTGCTTTGTTGTTCCTACTTCTGAGGGATCTGGTGGGGGCTTTCGGATTGTCCCATCTCATGGCCCCTGGGTTTGCCTCTGGTGAACTGGGTGTCTGGGGTTGTCTCTTGTTTAAATGTCTTCTCATTTCTTTGTTTTTTTTTTTTTTTTTTTTTTTTGTTTAACTCCTAGGGTGATGCTTGTGAACTGCCCATGGTGGGTTGCTTTATTAGAGGTATTCAGGGCACTTAGGTGATGATTACTCCTCCGAGGTATCTTCCAGGTGTAGCTGTTAGACAGTCTTACCTCTTCAGTTTGTTGGAGATGAGGAGTTGTTGCCTAGTCTCTGGTTGTTCGGAACAATGCCACAGCATTTTCTGTGGCCCTTAGTTAATCTGAGTCATGGATTATCAGCGTCAACAGCTGTTTAGAACAATTATTTCAATTTTGGCTGCAGTGGTACCCATAGCACCAAACACAGCCCATAAAACAACAGACTGAGCTAACCCTTAATCTGCAACTGTTAACTGTATGAACTAGATTTGTGATTCTATAACAAAATGTCAAACCAACCAGATGATTATATACAATATATAAGCCCGTAATGTGTCAATTTTTCCCTAAAGGTTAAAATTTAAAATGGATTAAGGAGAAAATAGAGAAGTAGAAAAAGAGAAAGAAATTACAAGTAAGGTTGGAAGACAAAAAGGAGTCCCATCAATTTGGGGAAACTGGTGTAGAAAGTTGAAAGAAAAGAGAGAGAAAAGGTAGAACAAAACAGAACCACACCCACAAAGAGGTTAGGAGCCACTCTCACACCTATAAAAAACCAATGAAAGAGAAAGAGAAAAGAGAAAACTGACTAAACAAAACACAGGAGACAGAGACAGAGACAGAGAGACAGAGAGACAGAGAGAGAGAGAGAGACAGAGAGAGAGAGAGAGAGAGAAAGAGAGAACAACAACAACAACAACAACAACAAAACAGCCCACTTCCTGGCTTCTCTCTGGGTTCACTAGCAGACAGCCTGTGGAGACGGAGTCCGGAATCATGCCACTGTATCCCAGCAAGCCAGCCATTGCCCTATGTTTGAGTAGTGGATGACCTTAGCAGGCCTGCCCTGAGCCCAGACTCACTGGGCTCCTGCAGACCAAGCAGTTTCCATGGGTCTGTGCTCTGCTAGGAGCTGCTGGAGGGATCTGGCAGCAGTTCTGGTTCTGGACTCTCTCCTGCAGGAGGACCTGGTCCTCTGTACTCACTGGCAGCCAGCGCAGTCCTCCAGGTCTGTCTACAGGAGCCCTGGCGTGTCCAGCCACCAGCATCACCACACCACGACCGTGCGTCTCCAGGCTCCAACAGCCTCTCTGGCAGAGTCAGTCCAGCTCCAGGCAAAGATGCCACCAGCTACTGCCTTCCTTGTTGAAGTTTTTCTTTTTGGCTTTTCCTCTCTCTGTGGGCTTCAATTCACACTTCAGATTCTTCCTGGGTCCGGGGGACCCACTCCCTCCTTCTTGTCTTCCTCATGCTGCTGTATTCCAGCATCCGGATGGTGTCTCTCAGAGAGGCTGTTTTCTCTGCCTCTACTGCTCCACCACCTTCCTAGAAGTCAGCACTTATTATTATTTGATTTCTTGATGATAGCCATTCATCAGTGTTGGGATCTCAGTGTTGTTTTAATTTGCATTTCTCTAGGAGCTGGAGAAGTTGAACATTTTTTCATATTTTTATTGACCATTTATTTCTTCTGAGAAGTATCCATTCAGTTGCCCATTATTGATTGAATCTTTTATTTTTTGAAGGGTTTAACTTTTTCAGTTCTTTATATATTCTAGATATTAGTCTTCTGAGAACTACCAGGCACTCCCTCCTCCCCATTCTGTACATTGTCTACAGCATGGTACTGCCTAAAAACAGACTTGTGGACCTTTGGAGTAGAATTGGGGAGCCACCCCAGGCAACAGGCACATTGAGCTCTCTAATCTCAGACAAAGAGCCAAAACATGCTGGAGGAGAGATAGCCTACAGTAAATGTTGCTGGGAAAACTGCAGAAGATTGAGCCTAGACCCATATCTCTCACCATGCAGTAAACTAAAATCAAAATGCATCCAAACCTAAATGTTAAAACAGAAATACTTAATCTGCTGCAAGATAAGATAGGTAATACACTTGAAGTACAGGCTTAGGCAAGGACTTTCTGAACAGAACCTCAATTGCCCAATAAAGATTTTTAATTTGAAGTCCAATTCATTTATTTTTTTCTTTTGATGATGGTCCTTTTGGTTTCTTATCTGAGGATTTGGGTTTTTGGGGGCAAGTCCAATATCATAAAGCTTTTCTTCTCAGAGTTTTATACCCTGAGGTCTAATTTTGGTCCAACTTCATTTTTTTGCATGTGGGAAAGAGGCTTCTTGTATCACCTAGAGTTCAGAGGTTACAAACAACAGAAATCAAGATAACTCAAGGAAAAAGAAATTATTGGAACAATTTTATATAGTTCATAGTAATTAATCTCTAGGTAAAAAGGATCTAGGAAAGGTTTAGGAATCTTCAAAACAGGAATTTCAGGACTGTTTCTAAAGGTGGTATGGGCTGACACACTCAGCTTTAATATTGTATATGTGTGTCCTTGTGTGTGTGTAATTCAGTAGTGAATGCCACATTTATTCATTTATTTATTTGGTTCCGGGGATTAAACTCATGACCTTGTACTTGCCTGGCAGGCACTTATGCTACTGAGCTAAATCTCCAGCCCTGTGGATGCCACATTTAGCAAAAAGCCCATGGGGAGCGTGTGTGTGTGTACGTGTGTTGCACGTGTATGTTTAGAAGAAGAGACAGCACTGTCACTACAAGGTCCAACCAGCAGGACCATATGAAGGGTTAGTGTGAATGGAACCTCAAAGAAAATTTGGACATTTACTAAAGGAGAGAAAATAGGCCAAACAGCAAATGTTCGCTGTTTTTATCCACCGAGAGATTGCCGTTGTGGTTTATATCTGGATGTCCCTCCAAAGCCTCATGCACTCATAGGTGAGGCTTTGGGGAGGTGACTGGACCACAGGATGTGACAGCTACCAGCGGATTAGTACAATGATGAGTGAGTTTATAGCTAAATGTGGTGTTGGAAGGCGAAGCCTGGTTGGAGGAGGCGGCCGCTGGGGGCGTGGCCTGGAAGGTCAGTCTCCCTCCTCCGCTCTTGATCTCTCTGCTTCCTGCTGCCTCGTAGTGGGCTGCCTCTCCTCAGCCAGGGCCCTTTGCCAAGCCACACTGCTTCGTAGTTAGACGACTATAAACTGAAACCTGTATACACTGATAGCCAAAATAAACACTTCCTCCTCTAAATTGTGCTATTGTGTCTCAGTGGAGAGAAAGTAACTAAGTCTTGAAGTGTTTGATATTGTTTTGTGGATTGCAGGTGAGGAAGAATAGATTTTGTACCATTTCCCATACTTATTTGTGAAAAATAAAAGGAAGCAGCCCCCCACAGGAACACATTAGAGGCTGAATGTTCCGGAGAGTATGTTCTGGCAGTGCTCTCACGTGCTTTTGAAAGGAACTATGTACTTGTACAAATGCCCAGGGAGAGTCCGATGGGGCAGGGCTAACCACGCTGGTGAGCGCTGGCCTCAGCCTGAGAATTGTTGGAGGTCAGAAGCTTGTCTCTTTCAAAGTGCAAAGGTAATCTTCCAACTCTGAAAATGGATACCGTACTTCTCCTAAAGCTGCAGCCACATCCCACCTAACTGATGTGATTCAGAACTTTTATTCTGCAACATGCAATTCATCCACTTCGAGCTGTGGTGTGGAAGTCCCTGTAAATATAAAGCAGGGAGTGTGGTGGTGTGGCACATATCAGCCTGACCTGAGCCGTGTACCTGGTTTATGAAGTCCTTTTAAGTTACTTTAATTTTCATCTTGTGAAGTCCTTTTAAGTTATTTTAGTTTTTGTCTTGTGGTGCTGGGGCTCAAACCTGACTCTTGCGCATGCTAGACAGAGGTCTTACCACTGGCCTTACCACCAAACCCCGGCCCAGCCCTTCCGGGCCCTGACTGTCTGGACAGCAGACAGAGAGCAACTGGGGCAGAAGAGGAGGAGGCAGGCAGGGGCCTGTGCCCCAGGCGTGGCAGTGCTGAGGTGGACTCTCCAGACTTTCAGAATTGGTGCTTATTTTCCCTTGATCAGCACCACACTTTGGGCTTCTCCAGATCACAAGCAGGCACCCCCCACCTTCCTGTATCCTGGGGTGTGGCTATCCTGAGACTTAGCTCTCTCACCAATGGCAGGTAAGGAGAGTGACCTGTATTTGTGTGTGTGTGTGTGTGTGTGTGGGTGGTATTGGGGATTGAACTACACCCTTCACATTTAGTTACATCCCTAATCCTTTTCTTTATGTCTCTTCCTCCTCTTCTTCTTCCTCCTCATATTTCTCTTTCTCTTTCTCCTCCTCCTCCTCGTCTTCTTCCTTTTGATAAAGGGTTTCTCTCTGTAGTTCAGGCTGGCCCTAAACTCACTAAGTAGCCCCATCTGCTCTTGAATTCCTGGTGATCCTCTTGCCTCAGCCTCCCAAAGTGCTGGGTCATTTTTTGAGACAGGATCTCACTAAGTCTCTAAATTGTCCAGGCTGGCCTTGGGTGTCAGCCTCCTAGATTGGTGGGATTACATGCATGCACCACCATACTTGTCTGGAATGACTTTTTGATTCCAATAGTTAGCGCCCTTTGGCAGGGTGGCTCAGGGGCCTGAAATGATGGTTTGGGGATGACAGAATCCAAACTTCCTGGGAGCCTCTTAGGGTTTGGAAGCAGCTTCCTAATCCCTCCACCTCAGACCTCAGACCTCAGACCTCTGGGGCTTTACTCCTTAGAAGTGGAAGCTAGGGTCAGTGGAGTCTCCCCTGGAGGGTGGTCAGGGGTGTGACCTAAGCCTGGTGTCTGCCTCAGCTCTTCCACAAATGTCCTGTAACCATGAGGCCCCTGTAAAGTGAAGACTGTCAGGTAAGTACATTAATTCAAAAGCAAACATTTGTTATACTTTAATTATACACCTGGCTCTAGCTACAGGGACAAAACAAGGCAGGCTGCACGCCTAAGGGAAGATGGTTTCCGGGCTCTGCTGGTCTTCTCTTCTATGAGCAGCCCTGGGTCAGTGTGCTTCCTGCTGTCCCCCCCACCCTCGCCGCTGCTGTCCTGCCTGTTGGTCTGTGGTCCATGGTTTCATTGTCCTTTGGGTCCTGCTGTAGACTTTCTCCCACTGTATGGGTGAGAGGAAGAATGGTGCTCATTTGGATCCACGTGGGGCTGTGCTGCCTGTGGAATCCCTGGGAGAGGTGGTGGGGAGGACAGAGTGGAAGGCTGCCCCTTTGGCAGGAGGAAGGGGAGAAGTACAGGAGAGTGCTGGGAATGGCTGCAGACCTGGGGCAGGGCCTGTGCTGGGGTGAGGCTCTGTGGGGTCCTTGGAGAGCTGCCATGGGCTCACACGGTCCCAAGGACTCCAGGTCCTATGGACCCTGGACCCAGAGAGAGGCTGCCATGGTGCAGGAGCGCTGGTGTTGTGCCTAAGAAGAGGTGAGGGTGAGGGGAACCTGCTCACCCCGTAGAGGCTCCCATGGGGCTGCTCCCTGGGTGCTTTAAACAAAGAACTGGACAAGACAGAAAAGGGAGTAAGGTGAGCAGATTGAAGGTGGAAATGGTGTGCACTCTGCAGGTAAAAAGGCTCACAGGGCATCTGAGGATAAGGGCCAAAGCAGCCTTTCACAATTCCTGGATTTTAACCGGGACAGTCATCCTATCACCCATTCATTCGGGATCACGCCCTAAGTAAACTGTCCTAGGGAAAACTGACTTGGATTCCTGCCATATGTAAATGAAGGATCAGGAACAGTGTCTTCTGATTGGTTGTGTCCATATACAAATAAATTGCAAAGAGTATCTTCTGACTGGTCCTGAGAGCACCAACATATTCAAATGGAGAATTGAAAGTAGCAGCTTTCTGATTGGTTCTGTGAAGTGATGATGGCATCACTGTATCTGGAGTCTCTCCCCATGGGAATGTCCCTTACCCTGTTGTCCAGTTTAGGAAAACTAGCTAAGGAGTGGGTAGACTCCCCCTGACCTGTGCCTGACTTTTCTGCTCACTCCGGGGCCCCAAAGGCCTCTCTGCTCCCTGCCAGCCTTGGACCCTGGGAACATACTGACCTCCAGCGGGCAGGGTTTCTGCTTAGCTTCATGTCATCAGGAGCAGCAGGAGAACGGCTTTCAGCGCGTGGAAATGACTCACCTCACTGACACTGCCCTAAAGAGCTGGCTGAGCACAGAGCGTTATCCTGGAGAGATGCAGAGTGGCTCCTGTGCACACTGTCCTACCTTTCCTTTCTTTTCAGATACTTAATCTCACCACCATCAGTAGGCAAGGCAGGTCCCAGGTCTACACTCTGCAAACGAGGGGTCTCGAGCTTGGAGAAGTGAAGTAAGTCAGCTAAGGATGCTCAGGCTAAAGGACGCCGGGCACATTTGAACTCAAGTCCCTGAGGGTCCTAAGCTAGGGCTCTTCCCACTAGGGTGCACTGCGCTGCTTCCCTCCAGCCCCAACCTTGAGATTTTTCCAGATTTGTAGGTTTCAGAGCAAGGGTGACAGTGAGGGAAGCCCAGGGATCCCTCAGGGCAGGCAGGTGGCTGGGGGTTGGGGCCTCAAGTAGCACTGAAAGCTGACCCGCAGACTCTGGCTTTTAATTATCTTGAAGTAGCCATGATAAGCTTGACTCATTTGTTAGCAGCAGGAAGTACGTGGGACATGCAGAGGCTCTGAAGGGACCTTTAAAGGTAGCCAGCAGCTCGGACTGTTATGGGTGGAGTACACAGAGCTGCCCAGATCAATTTGCAGGCCTCAGGAGGAAGTGAGGCAGGTCCCACAGCTTCGGGTGAGGTGGGGTGGCTCCGAAGTCCCCCTCGGGTGACAGAGGCTTAGGCTTAGAGAGATGAGCGGGATGCCTGCATCTGTGAGTCACCAAGGACCAGGACCACGCTACTTCCCTGCTGGCACCTGTCCACAAATGCAAGATTACTTTTTATGAAGCTCCTCACACCAGGGGGCTCCATGCTGGGCCCGATTGCAGCCTCCGGTGAAGGCTTCATGTGCCAGTAATTTTTGCCTGGCCTGCCTGGTGTCTTGTAGAGGGTTTGTTGTTGGGAGCCGCGGCCGAGCCCGGTCGCCTTACTTGGCGGACGTGAGGCCTGTAGGAAAGAGCAAAGCCTGAGCTAGATTACCCCTCCCATCGAGTGTGCTAAGATGGCGCTTATCTCCTGCTTCCTGCTTGGTAAACAACCCGCCCTGTAAGATCTCCTGCTTCACAACCCGCCCTGTAAGATAGTCTGCCTAGCAACAACTGAACCCTATAAAAGTGAGTGCCTCTCCCGCCAAGAAAAGAAGAAGAAGCAGAAGAAGCAGAAGAAGCAGAAGAAGCACGCAAGGAGCCGCGGAGAGCGGACCGGTAGAGGCTTCGGGACAGACTGTAGGGAGAAGCACGCAAGGAGCCGCGGGGAGCGGACCAACAGAGGCTTCGGCCGGGAGGATTCCCGGGGCAGGCTGTACGGAGAAGGAAAATAAAAGAAAAGGTTGTCCACTGCCAGACTTTGTTGTGTGTCCTTCCTGCCGGCCGGGAGTGACACCGACAGTTTGTGCCTGCTCTGTTCATTGCTGCTTGGAGCCTCAGGCTCCAAGCTCTGGGGAGTGGATGTGTAAGACAGGCCCTGAGCAGGTAGTCAGGGGGATAATGAGCTTGCCTGTCCTCTTTCCCAGCCTCCAGAGACCTGGGGAGTAAAACCAAGCCTGTTCTCTTGAAATTGGAAAGGGAGATCAGGTGGCAGTTATCCCACATCCCCAGATACTTCTAAGGGGAAGATTTTGAATGAACACAGATTTTTTTTTTTTTTTTTTTTTTTTTTTTGTTATGGGGGATCCAGCTCAGGACCACATGCTTGGAAGGCAGGAGCTTATGCCGCTGAGCTAAATCCTGGGCCCCTTACACACAGAAAACTTTGACCCACACTGGCAGGAGTGGGACACTGTGCATAAGCTGTGGATGTGAGTTTCTGGGTTCCTGATGTTGGCTATGACCTTAGCATGACTTGCTTTCCCTCCTTACAGCACAGAAAATCAGTACGTGGCAGTGGTATGTGGGGTTAGCTCCACACTCTGAGCCATGCACAAGGCTGGCAGAAGGGATGTGGTTGTGGGGTGAGCAGGGAGTGTGAATGCTTCTCTCGGTCCTCAGCTCCTTGTCCAAGGCACTGGTTCAGCCAGGTGGAGGCAGGACAGCATGGTCATAGGACTCGGAGGCCTCGCTGCTGATGAGAACTGTGGAGAGGATGGAGGGGGCTGGTGGGATGGTTGTTGGTTGGTTCCAGAGAGAGGCATGTGACAGCAGCCTTGGGACCAAGGGTTTTGGGATCATTTTATTCAGGCTTCAGATAAGACAGGATGCAGGAGAGACCTGAGAGTTTAGAGTCAGCAATACATTTTCCAAACTCTTTTAAGTTAGTTATATCCAGAGAGCTTGAGTCACACTAGTCTGGTTCCACCTGTTGAGTCATCATGAGGAGGTGGCCTAACCTCTCCCATCCTGTGTTTCTCATAACCTGAGGGTAATAAACATCTTCCTGTTAGGGCCGACCTGAGGGTCAGGTAGAATCACAGCAGTGTGCTGGAGGGCCGCTGCTCAGGGGTTTCTGAGCCTCCATCCCAGAGAGCTCCCTTTCCCTTAATGTCCCACAGGCCCTTTGCACACCCCGGGGCCTGCTCAGGCTGCCTGGCTTCAGAGCTCAGACTTTCTGGGGGATTCTGCTTTCCTCCTAAGAACCTCTCCTATGCTACATCCTCTTGCCAATCTCCTCCTTCAACTGACCTGCCATTTCTTGCCTCCTTCCTTCTCCCACTTCATGCAGTAGGAAAAGCATCAGTTACACAGTCCTGTGCTCACTGAAGATTTGTGCCTAGTTGGTGGTGGCACGAGGCAGTTTATAGCACAGAGCAGACAACACCCAAAGCTGAGTATTAGATGTGACCTCATTCTCTTGTCTCTCAGTCATCTCAGGAATCAGCTGAGTGGTGCTTGATCTTTCCAGGACTCTCACATGGCCTGGCTCACAGCTGGGACGCTTGCACTCTGATCCATGAGCTCTGACGATGTGCAGCAGGTTGGTGGAGGCTGGTGATGTGGCTGGGCTCGGGAGCCTGGGTTTGCACCCGCATTCCACTGCGTGCCACCTATGCGCCCACATTCACAGGATGGGGAGAAGATGCCACCTCCAAGTCTGCAAGGCCACAGTGCTGGGGGCACAGAGGTCAGAGGGGTGAAATACAGCAACTGTGTCTGCAGCTCCCTGCACCATCTTTCCCAGGCCCTCCTCCTGGGAGGTCTAGATCTCTTTTTCTCTGCCCATTTGTGGTCCTAGGCACTGAACCAAGGGCCTATGCACACAGCCATCTCCCTCTGTGGTAAACATTCAAATCCTTCTTTAGCTTTTTGGGTTATACAGTCACTAATAATAGTTGCCCTGCCATGTCACGGCGCCCTGGAACCTCCTCCTGTGCAGCCTCAGCTCGGTGCCCCGAGTCGGCCTCTCTCCTCATATTCTACTCTGCCCAGGCCAGGCTCTGGGAACCTCCACTCTCTGCTCAGCTCCTAGATCAACCCTTTTAGATTCCATGTGTGTGAGGTTATGTGGTCCTTGCCTCTCTGTGGCTGGCTTATTTTACTTCACATAATGATCTCTGTTTCCATCCATGGTGTCACAAGTGACAGGATTTCATTATTTCACTGTGATGCTGGAGATTGGACCCAAAGCCTTTGTAGTCAGCCACATTCCTAGTACTCTTCCCCCTTAATTTTTTTTGTCTTTTTCCTTTTTATCGGTACCAGGGATCGAACTCACAACTGCCTGCTTGCAAGGCAGGCGCTTATGCCGCTGAGCTAAATCCCCAGCCCTCCCCCTTAATTTTTTAAATTTTGAGACAGAGTCTCCTTCAGTCTCTAAATTGCCCAGGATGGACTTGAATTTGTGAGTTTCCTGTCTCAGCCTCCCAGTGTGCTGGATTACAGGTGTGTACCATCAGGCTCGGGTTGGATTTTGTTCTTTTTTTGTGGAGGATTAATATTTCACTGTACATATGTACTGCACTTTACCATTTGTTGATTGAGGGATACTTAGGTTGTTTCCATTTCTTGGCTAGTGCAGATAGGGTTCTAATAAGACAGGGGTGCCAACATACTAATTTCTTCTGAGTGTGTATGCTGTTCTGGGATTAAGGGGTTATATAATAATTCAAATTTTAACCATCTAAGTGTGTTTGACTAACATAAAATAGCGCTTCTCCACCTAAATAGGCCTCAGAGTCACCTGCAAAATTCTAAAAATGTACTGATGCCTAGGGTCATACACCCAGGCTTAGGGTGAGTTTTGGATAGTGGTATTTTTAAAAAGAATCATAAATTATTCTAGTATGTAGCTAGGTTTGAAAACAACTGCAACAAATAAGAGCAGAATGTATTGGAGATGAGTTTCACTTTCCTAAAATAGGGCCATCTAGAAGCTGTTTCTCTTTTTTGAGTCTTGATTGTACTTGACTGTTTATAAAATTTGCTTTACTTATTTCCCTAACCCAACAAAATGGAAAATAAAGAAGGGCTTTGCAAGCTAAGCTTTTAAGAGTCTGAATCGGGTGTCACCTAATGCACATGTACTAATGAAACACAATCTATTTAATTACCCACCTGCATTCAGTGCAAACAAACACAGTTGTAGAAGCTATTTATTTTTCTTTAAATGCGTGCTTTCTTCCTTCCTATGTGGTTGGTAAAATATCAACTGCATTTCAGGTCCTCACTGCATTCGGGTGATCAGGATCAGTACTATCACTGTCGTAGGAAATCGAAGGTAGTGGTGAGGGAGGAGGGTTCTGAAGACGAGCTGGGTCATCTCTCTCTGCTTCAGTTTTCTCATCTCTAAAACGGGGGCCATTAAAATAACCTACTTCATAAATCAACGTGGGGTTGGTCTGGGGATTAAATGTCTACATGACTCACTGTATTCACTAAACAATGGCTAGTGTATAATTATTTTATTCATTCAGTGTGCTGTTGTTTACTAAGCTCACTTTCAGTTTGCTTTCCCTTGGGTCCAGTTTCTAAAGGAAATATGACAGTGACAATGAAGAAGACAGCAAGGTGGTTGGTACCCTGACACTGGGCTGGGACATGATCATATTGGAAGAAATGCATATGAGAGACACTTCCATTGCAGGGGGAGCCCTCTGCTCTGCCAAATCCTGATTAATAAGAGCATTAAGAAGGTTCTCTGGCAAACCAGGATCTTCTTTTTCTCTGCCAAGTTGACTTTTCTTTAGCCACATATCATTGTAACAGAGGCAGCCTCGAACTTGTGCAATTATTGGAGTCGCTGGCCTGTCAGCTCAGTTCAGCTGTCCTGCAGACAGTAGATGACAGTAAAGATGCACCAATCTGCTGGCTGCTTCCTGGGCCAGGTTGAGTGCCAGGCTGGGGGCAGGCAGAGGTCTGCTGAGAGATGGGACAGAGTACACCTTGGAATCACAGCGATAAGGCAATGGGACCTTCTGACACATAGATGCGCACACATGGCAGCAGAATTCGGAAGAGGTACATACCAAACTATGCAAATGTAGAGCATGAACTGGGGAAATCATGGGAGTGACAGCTTGCATTGTGTCCATCCTTGGGTTGGGTGTCATATTTAAATGGTATTTTGCAACTCCCAGAAGCAGGTAGTATGGGCTCCTCATTGCAATTGAAGTTTAGAGGTGCTCCAATGCCCAGAAAATAGGTGAGGTCTCCATAATAGAACAGTCTGGGACACTAAAATGTTTCAGGCATTGGAATGGCATTTAAAAAAATAACTCTTTAAATCTCTGCTCACCTTGGAACAGACAGCTCAGTTACCTGCAAGTTGAGGTACTCTCCCATGGGATAATTTTAGGAAGACCCTGAGTTAAAAAAAAAATCTCTACCAAAATGCCAAAACCAGAAAACCCAAATCTCACCTCAGTTTCTCCTCATCTTGTTCATGAGTACCTGATTTACAATTTTAATTTCCGAGGAGATGAAAGCATTCATCAAAGAAGTTAAAAGTTACTGTGACCTAAAAGAAGGAACATAATATAGGGGAGTGGATTTGGGCTTCAGTATCTAGTAGTGTGATCTCATATTTCAAATAAACTCCCTGGGTTAAAATCAGCTAATCTAGTAAAAGTCATATAATTGTGTAAGTTATGATGAAAAGTCAGGGATAAAAATCTTATTTGGTGGAAAAATAATAAAACATTAAGAAAACATATAATTTTATTATGGTAACAATTATAAAACAATATGTGTGATATTGTTCTGCAAAATAAGATGGGGAAATAAATCTTAATGGGCCCAAGAGTGCCTCCCACGCATGGATGATTTTGTAACTGGACTGCAAAGCAATACAGTGATTATGCTTTTAGGAGACTTAGGGTTTAGACTGCCTGGTGGTACCAGTTTGCTAGCTGAGTTACTCTGTACAAGTTTACATAAGCTCCCTGACCCTGAGATTCCTTATCTGGAAGATAGTGAGGAGGAGCCGATGTACCTCAGAGGGTTGTTTTTAGGTCTGAATGAGTTTATGTGTTACTATCCTTTTCCTGGTGGGCCCTTCTCTTTACATGAATCCTTTCAAAGCTATTGCCTTATTGGTAGTAATATGGTTTTGGGATTAAAGCAATTATTTTCCTGGTTTTTTGTTATTTTCTTAGTATCAAAGTGTGATTATAACCTAATCCTTGCACATGGCTGGCTTCACATAGACTGATCTGGCATTGTTTCTCGACTTGGCCATGATTTTCAGAGCTTTGGTAAATGTACCTTGGCCAGTGGTTCTCAGCAGGAGGCACTGGGGAGGAAGGCCAGGCCCTCTTGGGTCACTCTCACCGGAAGGTGCCAAGAGAGGCCCAGCTGGACCCTGGGTCCCACTGAGTCACGCACCATGGACTGGCAGCTGATTTACAATCACATCAGGCTCTCTTCCATGCCTGGGTCCCTGGTTTTCCGAAGGTCAGATTGAAAACTAGGGAGGAAGAAGATTCTCTTTCCCTTTTGCTGTATGAGATGGTGGGTGGGGTGTGGAGGTGACACACAGGGTCAACACAGGAAGTAGGCCTCTTTCCGAGCCCAAATTCCAGGACAAACTTTAAAAGCAAACAGCACATTGCTTCTACAACAGTCACCTCTCCTGTTTTCTTCTTGTCCTCTGAATACACAGACACAGGCAAGGGCAGCTCTGAGCAAGAGCCAAGGACATGGTCTCCAAGGGGACCCTGGAGTGGGTCACCTTGTCCCTAGGGATAAGTGGGAGATCAACAGGTAGCTTAGCCCTTGGCTGCCTGCACCTCGTCAGCTCTTTGGAAAACCTCTGCCATAGACTACAAGCAAACGTTAGCGTAAGTTAGGGGCCAGCAGAGCTCAAATTGCCCTTGGGGGCCTGTCCAGTGCCTCAGTAACAGTCTCCAGTAGATGACAACTACCAGGAGAGTGGTGGGTTGGGTGTGTGGGCATCCATGTCTTGCTACCCAAGGCATCCCAAGACTCTTTAAAGGACAGTTCTGGTTTGCAGGCCACCAGCCTAGGCATACACCTGTCAGAGTGCTACTTGCCCCGTTTCCCCACCCAATGGAAAACCAAAAATGCTACACTTTACCATCATCACAGGCTGCTCCAAACACAGACATCTTCCAACCTTCTTGTTTCTCTTCCTCCTGGAGACTGTGAAGAGAAATCACAGGCGTTATTCGAGGACCTGTGTTCTTCCACCCATTAGCTGATGGATGTGAGGCAAGCCACTTAGCCAAATGCAGTTTCTTCATCTGTGAGATGGAGGGATGGCAACATTTACTTTGGAGGGTTTAAAAAGGGTGTCTTCTATACATGAGGTCCATTTTCAGAATCAGTGGGTGGCTTTTCTCATTAATGAAGAGTTAAGATTCTTCCCTGGAACTGCCACCCAGGGCTGCTCTCCTCAAGCAGGTGGCATCTGTGCAGGGTCCCCATAGCCTGTGTGCTTGTCACTGACACCTGGGTGCCTCCTTCCTTGCTGTCACGAACCTCACTCCTGTGAGTGAGAAACAGAGATGGCGATGTTCATTTCATGTGTCTCCTGGTTGGACCGTGCTGTCCCGAGAGACCGTCAAACGCTACTCAGGATATTTCTGTGAAGATGTTTCTGGGTGAGGTGATTAACACTGAAGTCAGTGGTGGAGCAAATTGTCCTCTCAGCATGTGGGAGCTTCATCCAACCTATGCCGCACAAGGGTGCCCTCCCTGAGCAGGAGTCGACCGTGACCTCAGCTCCTGGGGCTCCAGCCTGCCTGCCCAACCTGCAGATTTTGGATTTGCCAGCTTCCATTATCACATGAGCCCCTCTCGAAAAATAAACCTTTTTCTGCAGAGCTCACACCTGATTGGTTCTACTTCCCTGGAGAGCGCTGACTCATCCAGAGGTGTGGAGCCCTCAGGAGAGGCGGGGTCCTCTGAGACCTTCTCTAGCCTGAGGGGTCTCACAGGACAGCTGGGCTCCCAGCTTTCCAAAAATAGCCATTTTTGTTTGTTTCAGGCCTGCTTTTCATCTATTTGCTTCACTGTGACAAATGGGAAGCAGAAAATGGGGGATAGTATGGTGATCATTAGATTTTCCTGCATTTAAGTGGATCTTAACTCAGATGAAACCTAAAGACATACGCTCTCCTCTTTTGAAGACAAAATAATCACAAGCCAATTTCTATCAGCCTAGCTTTATAATAACATAGTACATATGATCATAGTCACAGTAGCTGCCACTTAGAAGCCCTCGCTGGTTATCGGATGTAAACAGGTGCATTAGACACACTATTTCTTAGGCATAACTTAAATGGGACAGGAAACCCCAGGTGCCCCAGCTGTAGTGCTAACTTTCCCTGTCAGCAACTTGGAATTATGAAAGAAAGGGCTGTTTTGGGGTCATTTTCTAGCACATTCTTTCCGGTCCATTTCTAAGTCTAATCTCTCCACTATCTGTTTTTAAATTTTCATCTCCACTATCTTTGAGTGATGGGGTAAACAGGAAGGACACAGGGGTTCATATTTATCCTCATCCGGTGGCAGAAAGGCCAGTGTGCTCCAGAGATGTGACATGGGATGATCAAGTACACTGGCTTTATGATTCTCAAATAACCATGTGTGGCTGAGCAGTTGTCAGATAAATTTAATTTAATAAGATACATTTAACACTCTGCCTCTCTGGGATATAATTGCATCTGGATGATGAGTCACTCATAAACTTCTTTAGAATATCTGGCCGTCTTGGGATCATGTTTGTGGTTATCAATTCTTATTGGATGGTATCACTGCTTTCTAATCAATAGGGTGCTAAATAAATTAGCTTTTATTGCATTACCTGCTACAAGGGACAACAGAATGCATTTGTCTAAAATATCACTCGCAATCTATTTAAAAGTGATAGAAGGTGATGGGGAAACAGAGCTGGGAAATATACTACCTCTTTTTGTTCCCTGGCAGGGCCTGCCGGGGGCTCTGCACGCCCATCTAGATTTGCTGTCAGGCAAATGGCGAGGTTGCAGCTGTCTTGTGAACTCAAGGGCCTTCCCAGTGGTGCTGGCGTCTTAGTTGCCAGGATTAATTTTACCAGGAAAGCTATGCATGGCTGCCTTAGCGATACCAGCCAGTCATGTCCTAGGGTGCTACCCCGAGGCTCCCTAAACCCAGACAGTAGAGAAAGGTTTTCACCTGACTGCCCTGGGTTAGAGGAAGAGCAAGGTCACTTACCAGCTGTGTGACCCCAAGCAAGTTGCAAGTTGTGTGACTTCTCTGAACCTCCTTCTTATCTCATTGCAGCACAGTTACCCTTGTCCTGGGGGAAGCGGGGCTGTAAGAGTCAAAGAGGTAATTATTATAAAATGCTAGGATATGGCCTGGGATGATCATTCACAAATGGTAGCTAGAAATCGCTCAGATTCCCCTGACCCCTGGAGCTTTTCAAAAACTCTATAACCTCACATTGTGTTGAGAAAAGCTACTGACATCTGCCATTCCTGGGGCTCAGTCCCAAGGGGACAGTCCACCTTGTCCTCCTGCCTCATGCGTCCTCTCCTCACCCCACTGCACCTTCCAGGGCAGGATCCATTCCAGGTGACCGGGTCACACTATTCGATGCTGATAGTGCAGAGCGGTTCCCTCATTTCAATAAAAGTATTTTGGCCCTTTGACCTCCAAATCTACCCTCTAGCTCAGGAGTCCACATTCAACTTTTCTGTAAGGTCAGATCCCAAGTATGAATACGAAGATTCAGCACGTGGCACTGTGGCCACACAGTCTCTCCTCGGGGCAGGGTCCAGCTCGAATGTGTCCAGTACTCTAGGAGTAAGTGTCTTGGTTAGAAAAAATCGCCACTCACCCATTATGAACCTGGGCACACTTAAGAAAGTAGGGGAAGTCAGGGTGTGTGTGTGACTTGAATTTTCTCATTTTAATATATTCTTAATGGACAATTTAAAAAACATAAGGCAAAGAGAACTCTAATGAGAGGCCCCCATGCCATCCCCTGGAGCTGGGCACAGGCAGTTTGTGCACACTCTTCTTGTATCTGCCACCCTGGCAGCCTCCACCCTCCACCCCATGTGGATTCTTTGCAAACTGAAATCTTGTAGCCAGTATCACACATTAAAAGTGGTCAGTATCCAGTTTTCCTTTGTGATAATCATTTTTATCCTCCTTCCCTCCCTTCCTCCTTTCATTCTTTGTATTTTTCTTCTTCTCCTCCTCTTCCTCCTTCTTTTTTTGATCCTGGGAGTTGAATCCAGGGCCTTTGTACTAAGGTACATTTTTAGCCCTTTTTAATTTTTTTTTTTTAATTTTATTTAAGGAGAAAAGAAAAAAAAAGCAGGGAAAGGGTACAAGTTATACAGATTTACAGAAAAAAAATGAACAGTAGGAAATCACTAGTTAATGGATTACATATTGTCATCTTAGAAATAATTGTTCAAGTCACAAAATTAAAGCTTGTAAAGTGGACATTCCATCAATGATACTGCAAACAGTTCTGTTCATTGATCCAATAAAACTCTGTGATATCATTTTCTATCTTATACACTTAAATATACATGCAGTTATATAGTTTGGAGCACTTTCTTTTCCTCTCTTTTGTACCATGACTATTACACATTTTGGGTTTCATTGCTCCCACGGTTCTTATTACTTTTTTGGAAGAGAGTGAAACCAAATGTGACATAACAGAACAGAATCGGTCAAGTCAAAAGGGTGGACATAATAGATAATGTAAAAACATAATACAAGGTGATCAATAATGGTTACAATAATGCCTCCCGCTATCTCTAATAGAATTGCCTATATCACTAGTTATAATACGATTGAACAAAACAATAAAGAATAAAACCGACAAAACCAAAGCATTGGAGACATTGTAGGTCTTCAAAAGTAGATAAAAGTCAACAAGAATGGGCGTTATAATGAATCTCATTATCTTCACAGCTGATGCCTAAACTTTCGAACCTGATACTATCCAGCAAAACAGAATAGGGGAACATCAGTTAAAAACCAGATGGTGAGAGTAATACAGGGCTTTAAATCAAGGTAATGAAAAGTCAAAGTGGGTTACTATAATTTATCCTGCTATTTTTTTCCTTTAATTAAAAGGATAAAGATAAAAAAGTAAATAATGGAGTGGAGATTGAGATAAAAGAGGGCATAACAACGAAACAGCGCAGATCAAAACATAACCATTTAAGCAGAATAGTGTTTCACCACCAGATAATCCTAACCTAAAAGTAGTTACCATATTGTTTCTTTCTTTGAAATCCTTGAGTACAACTTCATACACTGTAGCATTAAGCATATCAAAACAATGTAAAACCATTCAAGAGAATGACAGCATTACAGAGTATTTAGAATTGACTAACAGAAAATGAACAATGGTTTCTGTATAATCTCCTTGTCTTTAAAAGGTTTTTGCTTTTACTATCGTACATAATAAAATCCAATAAAATACAGCCTATTTAGACCATTGGAGACAGAAGGACAAAAGCTAGATGAGACTTCAAAACAAGATGATACTAAATCAGTATTACCTATTAAGATGTCATTTTCTCCAAAGTAGCTGTTCCTATCATCCAATCTTCTCTGCCTCATTTCTGTTGAGCTCTTTTTCTGTCAGTAGCTGTCAGTTTGTCTTCTTCATTTTGTTCTCTGCTCCATTCGTTGTGGCCTCTCTGCCATTATTTCTGGATTCTTTGTATTTTTCTTTTTTTAGAATATCCTGCAATACTCTCTGTAGAGTTGAATTGGTGGTTGCAAATTCCCCCAGTTCCTCTTTATCCTGGAAGCACCTTGTTTTTCCATCAATTTCCAGGGACAGTTGTGCAGGATATCTCAATCTTGGCTGGAGATTATTATCTTTCAAAGCTTGAATTATTTCCCCCCATGCTCTTCGTAATTTGATGGTTTGTGCAGAGAAATCTGCTGTAATTCTGATGGGTGTTCCCTTGTAAGTGGTCTGTTTCTTGTCTCTTACAGCTTTTAATATTCTGTTCTTGTATTGAATTTCTGGAATTTTTATTATTATATGCCTGGGTGTTGCTCTGTTTGGGTTGTAGGTAGCTGGGGTCCTGTATGCCTCATACATCTGAGTATCTTTACCTTTTGCTAAATTAGGAAAATTCTCCTGGATTATTTCTGTGAGTAGCTTTTGTAGTTCACTTGTTTGTGTCCCTATTTCTTCTTTTATGTTCTTAATCCTTAAGTTATGGCTCCTCTTATCATCTTCTTGTCTTTGTATTATTGCTGTTTGTTTCTTTGTTATTTTTAAGAAGTTTTTCATTTCATTCTCCCATATTACAAGTCTGCCCTCCAGTTCAGATAGTCTGTCCATAGTTTCTTTCAAGCTGTTATGCCAGTCTTCGATAGACTTCTTAGTATCTTGGTAGTCCCTTTGAACCTGCTTCACGTATTCTATGCTTTCTCTGTTTTCTCCATCAAACAATTCTCCCCTTTTTTTCTGTTCTTCCATTCCACCACCTGTTTTTTCTTGGGTGGTACTTAGCATTTCTCTAACTATTCTGCATACTTCTAGCTTCAGGTCGTTGATAACTTCATTCCTGAATTGGTCTATGAGGCTCTCTATATGGTGCCTTATGTGTATTGGTGCGGTGTCTGCTATTGCCTGTTTCTCAGAATTGGGGGCCGAGGAGCCTTTCTTGTTGCTGCCTCTTCCCATGCTGCCTCTTCTTCTCTGTTCCTTATATATGCAAGCTTATATAAGAGGCCCAGCTTCTCTCCCAGTCAGCCACAGCCTGATCGAATTGCGCCAGTTAGGTGTTCCCGCTCACCGCTGCGCACCAGGGAGTTACGGACCAGGCAGCCTACGCGTCTCCCCTCCCGGCCACCGTCAGGCTCTGGGATCTGGGTTGGGACAGTCTACCAGGTCCGCCGGCAGTGTCCCACAGGCCAGGCACTTTTCACCAATCCCCCTCGAGAGGGGGATGTGTGGCTGGAGTCGCCAGCGCGCCCTGCTCTCGCAGGACTGCTTGGGCCCAGAAAGTCCTCTGCTGGAGTCAAACTGTGGTAGAGTGTCAGTTTCTCTCACTCACCTCGCCACAAGTCAGTGCACGCCTCCCTACCGTTCGCAGATTGCCGTTCTCAGAGCTTCTGCGCGTCTCTCTCCTTGCTGAGCAACTGTAGAGGCAGCCAGCCGCCACGCGGCGGGAAACCCAAATCACGGCTTACAATGGCGCAGGGTCCAGCCTCCACACTGAGGCTTTTCTGTTCCTGCTTTAGCACCAGGACTGCATTCCAAGTTGGTTTCTCTCAGCCCAGTTCGTTCCTGAGTCAGCAGAGCATATCTCCACCTGCTTATGTCTCCTTAATCCGCACCATTCCTGGCTTCTGAGCCGAGTCTTTCAGAGAGCCTCCGGTAGTTGCTGTTATCTGTCCGCCATGTTCTCCCGGAAGTCCCGCCCTTTTAAATTTTTGACAGAGTGTTTCCAAGTTGCCAAATTGCCTGATCTGTGCTCAAACTGTGATCCTCCTGCCTCAGCCTCCCAGTGTGCTGGGAACGGTTTTTAAAAAGTCCTTGTTACAAGAAGATTGGTTTCCAGCAGGCTCCAAATGTTTCTTCAATTCCTTCTAATGCATAGGTTTCTCCCTCCTCACCTTTTGCTTTTTCAGTTTATATGTGGAAGATACAGCATCACTTGTTCTATAGTTTCTCACTTTGCATTTTGTTGACTGTGGCTCTGAGGTGTCATATCCACAGCCTGTTTTTCCAACCAGCATTTTCTGTAAATTGTGGGCTCCAGAAGGGCTGGGGTGTTCACTTGGCAGCATATATACTAAAATTGGAATGGCCCAGAAGGGCTGGGATTATAGTTCAGTGAGAGAGCGCTTACCTAGCATGCATGAGGCCCTGGGTTCAGTCCACAGTACTGTGAAACAAACAAACAAACAAACAAACAAACAACCATGGTTCCTAAGTGGTCCTGCATCCGTCTCCAGGACAGCTAGTGACCTGAGGAGTATTTGTGACTGTAATACTAAGATGCTGAAAAACTAAAATAGTTAATTAAAAGATAGTTATTAGCAAAAATAGTTAAAAGGATAGTTATTAGCAGTATTGTCATTCTGGGCTGAGCTTGTCACCCTAGTAACCATGCACCAACCATATAGATTAACTGACCGCATCATCATGCTGTTGTGTATGTATCGTTTCCCCCCACCCTGGTAACTTGTTTGCTGTGTCAAACTTTGTTCCCTTTGGAAGAGACAAATGATGCTCTATCAACCATTGTTCCCTTTATGAGAGTCAAATGTTCCTGGAATTGGCAGACCAAGGGCTATGAATTGGCTAACCACCCA